CTGTGTAAAAAAAAAAAGAAAGTTAATCAGATTTCTGAAAAATGGTATAAACTTTAACTTTAAAGTGCTATCAGTAGTTAATAAGAGCATGATTTATGCTCGTTGGAAGGTAATATATAAATGTCCAATTCTACAAAAAAAAAAAAAAAAAAAAAAAAAAAAAAAAAAAAACCATATTCAAAATTTTCAGTATAAGAATGCATTTGGGATTAAAGATAAAGGTTCTTCTTTCCTTTATACATAAAATTATGTCTATTTTAAAAATCGAGTACTGTTTGTATGCTCAAAAAACTGCAAAATAATCGTAATAATAGCAAAAAAATTATTTCTCACGAGATCTTCGTTCGCCTTCTACAGACAAATTTATGAGGAAAGAATAAAAGTGTAACAACGGAGATTTACTGAGTAGATTACTTAAACCTACTTTGGTTTAAATATTTGTTATTAATCGTACACATTAAAAAAAATTACTGACTTGATCAAATTTTATAAAAATTATATTGAACGTCTTGGCGACGGTTAGATAAATTAAGACTGCAAAAAATTCTTTTTTGCCAATTAAACAAAAATTTTTGGTTTAAAACCAAGTGCTCTTAAATAGATCAGCTTTCTTTTCAAAACAAAAATTGGATTTTGATTTACCTTGTCAAGAAAACCATCATTCAACCGATTTTCCAATCTATCTATTTCTTTATTCTTCTCTGTAATCGCTTTGGTTAATGTCCTATAAAGATACGGAGATAAACGTGGCAGATTCAAATTATTAGGGGAATACCACAACTTTTTAGACAGCTATTACTTACTCAATCTGTGATTTCATCTGCCTACATTGTCTCTCCAGGCAAACTTCCTCATCAACGTCACTGATTGATGTCTCCTCTTCACTATGTGTTGTTGACCAGTGTCCACTGTCTGGATGAGGCGACGCAGAGTTCAGCGTTTGCCGGTCGAATTTTGACGCCAAAAGAGCACGTAGTATAACGCTTTCCTCTCGACGTCTTCAAGAAGCAATATTTCAGAAATTTAGTAAATCCATTTCATGACAGTAAATAAGATTGTTCGCATTCAGAAGAAGTTACCTGTCGTTTTCTTCCATAATTTTTTCGAATAGTGAACGAAAATTTGTGGTCTCGTCCCCACCCTCTACTTTCTCTTCCAAAATTCGATCCACCTCTGCTTTTAATTTAGAATAAGCAAGTTCCAGTTCCTAAAAGTAGAAAATCTCAAAAAATATATGCCAGTTTTTCTACATTTATTTGTTTTATAATCACAAACTTGCACGCGCTGAGCTTCAAAAATACGCGTCGACGACCTTTTATCAAGACCTTCAATCATTGCGTTAGCATCCATAATAGCCTTAAGCCTTTCATTTTCCCGTTGGTATTGTTCATATCTACAAAAGTGCAAATAAGTTTAAAGCAAATTCAATTTAACGGTTGATTCATAACGACAGAAAGATTTTGGCTGTAAAAAACAATGCAAGAGCCGATTTTACCTCATACGAATTTCATTAAGCATGTTTTGCTGCTTTAAAATAAGAGCGGATTGTTCAAAATCACCAAATTCACTGATAGAGTTATTTATAATCCCATCAAGAGACACTTGAGAACTTGGTTTTTCAGTCCTCTTTGTGCTCGCTCGCATACCTAGATTGACTTGCAATACTGTAATATTGAAATAAAAAATGAAGCTAAAATGATATTTATAAAACCTACTGCCAACTCTACTAAGTGAAGGGCTGGCTAAAAGATTCGCATTCGCGAGCAACTGTTCACGCATTAGAGCAAGCTCACTTTCCATACTCGTCCTTAGATCAGTTTCTGAAAATTAAACAAGTGTTTCGAAGTCGATTTTTAAAACTCATTTAGAACTTCATATGTCGCAATTTACAGTCAAACAAAACAAAGTGAAAAAATATAGAAAATTTTGTTTGTCAAAGAAATGGTTTATAAAGTGGCCAGAAACATTTTTTAAAAAGCTTGTCCAGAAAATGAAAATACACTTCACACACTATCTGAGATCCCGTTTAAAGCAAATTTTAGTGTAAAATGACCACCCCGGTATGCTACAGAGAAAAAAGAAACAGTCATTTACAGCAGACTGATAATTAATATGCAAAATCTATTCAGGACCATTAAAACATCTTCAGAATTAGTCTTTATAAACTCTTAATCTTTATTCGTCTGCATGTTATAACTTCATAAACTTGAAACAGATTGATAAAAACTCTAACTTTCGTGTTTTTACCTTTTCCAAGCTCCTCCTGCAGTAACTTCTTTTCTTTCAAGTGTTTTTCGTGAGAAACCTTAAGTTTAGAAAGTTCCTCAGTTAATGAGGTAATTTTCCCTTCAGCTTCTTGTTTTTTCTGCAAAAGCCCAGTGTTAACTATTCGATATCATCGCGATCAAGGCAATAAAGAGAAAAAAGAGAGAAATTAGTAAAACATCTTACACTAATTTCAAAAAGCAAAACCTGTTTAAGTTGGTATAATAACTGATTCACTTCTGTTTCCAGCTCACTGTTTTTAGCATCTTTCTCATTATTTTCAATTTTTAAATCTTTCAATTGTTCTTCAAGCTGTTCAACGAGATCTGCAGCAGCAATCAACGTAGGCCTAAACTATACAGTTGTCAGGAAAGCTTGACATGCCAGACTTATAAAAATTCCCCGCCTCAAATAGTTTTCTTTAAGATTTTTTAGAGTTAAGAAGTATATACCAATAGATAAGTTTTTAAAATATAAAAAAAGATGTTAACTCTTATAACACTTATATGAACAACGAAATCTGTTCTGAAAAGTTCTAACTTCTGAAAACAAAAGGGCAAGAACAGATAATGTTAAAAGCCCTCTTTGACGCAGCACAGGAAAATGACGCAGACGTTCTTAGTGACTGAGTAAAAAACTTTGAACAAGAAATTGAAAAGTGTTAACAGTAAAAATACCGCTCAGATTCTAATATTTCCAGCTTTTCTTGTATTTCTTCAAACTTCTTTGCAACTTCTGTCAACTTCTGGTTCTCGATTGCCTAAAAAACGCTTTCTTTCAAAAAAAAGTTTATGTAAACAAATTTTACACATTAAATTTTTATACAAAAATTAAAAGTCAAAAAATACAAAGCTTGAAAGCCAGAAAAACTTAATAAGTAGAAGCAACAATTTTCAAATCATCTGTAAAAAATACCATAATATCCAACCGCTGTTGCAACGAAATAATCTTGTTTTCGAGACCTTTGTTAAGCTTTTGTAAGTGTCCAACAGAGCGTGCTTCTATCTGAACTACATTTTATTAGAATAAATTAAAAATTTGAAGAGATCTATACAAAAATTATAAAAAAACAAACCTTCAATTCCTTCAAGCGCCTTTTTGCAAGCCATCTTCTAACCAAACATTGCACTATAACAATTTTTCTCACTCTTTCGATTTGATGCCTCCTAACAAGCCAGCCACGCCAATACTTTTGAATAACAATGGCTTTTTGTTCGTATCGTAACTGCAAATTCATAAAGATACAATGATCAAATCAATTAAGCAGAATACAGAAGAATTTAAAAAAATACCTTTTCCACTTTCTTACGCACCAAAAAACCGCGGAAGTGAGTTTGTATCATTATCACTGCAGCTTTCATACAGCGATAACGTCTCCGCATAATGTAGCCTCGAAAAGCAGTCTGAATACACACTGCGGCACGATACATTTGCAGATACTTCATCCTTCTATATACCAAGAATGCTCGCGTAGCAGCCTAAACAAAGATGAAGGCTAAATGGCATTTAAAGATTATATAAGGGCAAAATGATGCTTATTATTTCAAACCTGGATGATACTAATTGAACGCAGCATATGCTGGTAACGTCTACGACATACAAAACCACGCCAAATCTTCTGTATCATCACAACTGATTTACTCAAAATATCATTACGATGTCTTTCTAGTAAAGCAACCTGACCTGTACGAAAGAACACTTTTGTTTTTCCCAAGGCAAATACGCCTGCCTAAAAAGACTTGTTAAAAAAGAAAAAAAGACAATTTAAGCTGAAATTAAACTCTTAAAAGTAAAATTTAATTTTGTAGGATTGTTTGAAATGCCTGTGAAGACCTGTAAATGTTTCGTGCAAACTTTTTCTGTAAACGTCTTTGGATTTGTTTTCCACAATGCTTTTCCTTCGGTATAAAGCACACGATATCTGCGAGAAAAGTCATCGTATATCCATCTAAAAAATATACAAAACTGTATTTTTTGCCTGTGCAGCCAAGTTCAGGTTTGTTGTAGTTAGTTGACATTTACTTTAGCTTTGCTGTATTTAAACCAGTACAAACCTTGATGGATACCCAGCTGCGGAGATACGAACTGTTTCTAATACACCACAGGCCCGGAGTTGCTGAATTGCTCTTTTGGGGTTGAAAGTGAAAGGCAGCTTTTCGTCGTTGGGCTTTATACAACGTACATAATGTGGACGAGTAGAACCAAGTACACTCATCAAATCACGCAGTGAATCTCGAAACTATAAAACGGTCCAAAAATTCCTCAGTGTTCCTCAGTGGGCAAGAATGTTAGTGATATGAAGTATTTCAGTTATTTAACGTCTGAAATTAACAACCAAATCTCTTACTTGAAAAGAGACACACTTTTTCTTAGATTTTTGTGACCCAGGTGGAAGTAAGCCAGTGACATTACGATTCGGTTCCGTCCTTTTATTTCCCCCCATTACGTGATGAAGAAAATTGAACTGAAAAAGAGCACATTATAAATCTTATAAAAGTCCCTAAATCCACGGTTACCTTTGTTTTTCTGATAACATTTACAAGCTGCTCGCTCACTGAATCCCGATTTTTCTCCAGAAATCCATCAACCAGATAAGTAACATCAGCGGCGAAATGTTTTATAATAAAAGAAGGATTCTGAAACCGAAATTTAAGAAAGGCGTATCAAGAACTAAAAAGGTGAGTGCAGAGACAATTATTTGATTTTACAAGGTGTATAGGGGAAGGTAAAACCTTTATTCTTGGCAACATAAAGTGCTGTTGATTCTTTATTTGAGGGCAACTGCTTAACTTCTCAAGCCAGTCACGGTCAGTTCCCCTTCCCATCTAAATAAAATGATAATTATTGGTAAACTAAAACCTGTTCAAGTTGAGGCTACAAAGATCTTCGTACCTTGCACTGTTCATCCAATGAGTCAATAATTCCTGGTCGGCTTTCAATCAAGTCAATACAGGGTTGATTATCATAAAAATCTATCCTTACCCAATCAATTTCCTCTCTTTCGTATTCCGATTGCTCAAGTTTAAAAACGTGCTAGAAATGAAAAATTAATATGGTACTGCAGAAGATGCGCTTGAAATGTAGAATACTACGGACTCAAAACTGGAACAGAAAATTACTTGGTTGAACTGTTGTTGAAGCTTCTCGTTAGCATAATTGATGCAGAACTGCTCAAAACTGTTGACGTCAAAAGTTTCAAACCTAAATAAACTTTTAAACTGCAAATCAAGAAAATCCAAAAAAAAGTACACCACAGCATGACAAGTTACCCGTAAATGTCGAGAACACCAATAAACTGTTGCGTCGCTGACGCAGAGGAATTCAGATTTTTGCCTGTCAATGACTTGTTTACTATGTCAACAATCCACAAAAATGTCTTTTCGTAAATCAATTTTGACAAAGCATTTCTACTTGCAGTAGCCTGAAACAGCAAGAAACAAAATGCATTGAAGGAAGTCACATTGCCTTGACTTACCTGCGGAAATGAACTTTAGCGACTAAACTAAGTACTTTTGAAGGTGATCGAAAGGATTAATAGCAGCAATCTAGAAAGACTACGAGTAACCAGTAAAATTTACTTGAAGGCTGTCCAATGGTTTCCGCATCACTTCACCACCAGCACATATTTCACGCACAGTCAACCAAAGTCGTAGTTCTGCTTCATCAATATTATAAACAATTTTACACAGTTTAGCTAAATCGCTTTTATGAGATCCCTAAAAAAACTATTACTATAAAGAAATAAAAAACTAAGAAAGACTTAAGAACAATGAATTTTGGGAACTGATATAAATAAAGTGACAAAACTTCACTAAAAATAAAAAATTTTAAGAATGACATCAATAGAAGTGGCGTCCTCTTGAGAAACAAACGTTATATTGCCCAGTAGAAGTATACCAGCAAAAACTCTAAATATTGATTTTTGTATATCAGGAGTTATTCCAAGAAGATTGAAAGCAGCAACGGTTTTCAGAAATTCCTCGCCATCATTCACTCCTTCTATATAACAATTTTCTCCTTGAGAAGTATAAAAATAACATTTGCAATCACCTAAAAAATAACGTAATCACTAAAAATGTTTGATAATGTAAAAAGCTTCATGTCCATAGAAAGAAAAAAATTTGTCTAAACCTAGTTTGAGATCCTTTAGTAACTCGTGCTGTGAAGATGCACACATCTGATAAAAAATGTGATAATTTCTTTCATTATAAGCCTATAAATAAAAGATATATATATTTCACCACATTAATTCAAAACGATATAAATAATAACAGCCATGTAAACTGTATCAAGGTTTCATTTGTACTAAGAAACACTCACTTGAAAAACGACTCTACTCTTCTCTAAAAGATAAGTTTTCATTTGCGCTCCAGCAATTCCAAATCTATCAGTAAAGTTTATTTGAATAAACTTCCCAAATCTGGAAGAATTATCGTTCCGAATTGTTTTTGCATTTCCGATAGCTTCCATGATAGGATTTGATGCCAAAACACGGTTTTCTATGCCACCATCTTCATGAGAAAAATCGCTTTTCGACTTTTTAGATGAAGGGGCCACAGATGCCAAATAACTGTAATTCATAATAAATTTCTTTACATTTCTTATTTTTCAAAATAAATGAAAGAAAATTCAGAATTACCGCATCACAAATTTCGCAGACACAGTTTTACCAGCTCCAGATTCTCCGCTGACAATAATAGATTGATTTTGGCCAAATTCAGAAAGATCAGAAAATGCTTCTTCCGCAACCGCATAAATATGGGGATCCAGTTCACGAACTTGTTTTCCAGCACCACTATACACCTACAAAAAACAAAAACTTTACTTAAAAAAAATGATAATGAAAAAAGCAGAGTTAATAGAGGATTACTGTTAACTAATTTATCTAACCAATCAAGCATTATACCTGAATAACCTCATTACTGTATAAATGAGAGCAATTGGTATACGGATTTATTGCAACTAAAACAATACCGCAGTAGGTATATATAGATTCACGCTTAGAAAAACGAAAATTGAGATGGTTAAGAACGGCCGGTTCATGCAGGTAGCTTAATGTTGTTAGGTCATCTTTACCAAGTAAAATATCTGGATTACGTAAAAATGGTAAAGATTCTTGTCCTTTAACATCAATTTTGATTTCCTGAAATGTTGTTAACGCATTTATTCGCTGATACGTACATCAATGAAGTATCTGTGAAATTTTTAATTTGATTGTTTTTAATGAGACTAAACGAACAGATCATTCATCACAATGGCCACCATCAGAAGCCTACAACATCCCTCAAACAAATTAATTTCATCAATGAAGTAAGCGTTGCAGCCAACTCTTCAGAAATCCGCTAAAAGCTAGCCCGACCACTGCCAATATAGTTAAGATTTTTGACATATTAAAGCATTAAGAAGTTTGAAAAGATACTGATTAATCGACGCGCGAGGCAGTAGACAAGACGAATATGAAGAAACCTCTACCCTTAATCGATACAGAAAATTTTGACCAATACTGTGCGGCACAAAAAGGTTCTCTCCGCCAACTAGCTCAAAAAAACATTTGGCAAGCCTCTGAAACTTTTGATGGTTCAGACACCGCCATTGTTAAACCGCAGCAAAACCGCCTTTTCAAGACTTCTCAGATTCCCAAAAGATATTTTCTTCATTGACTGAATTGGTTTCTCAGCGGCACGCTCGTAATGTTCAATAACGCTTAATGTAACAGGTGATCTGTCTGTCTAATTCCCTTATACCTTATTAAACCAAAAAATTCTGAACTTCAACTTTCAATTCATAAATCTATTGCACGCAGCTATATATAAAATTCCTTCTTTATATCTTTCATACAGTTATTTATAAATAATTTAGGCAGAAAAAAAAGAACCTCGCCATTTTCCAGCCGTAAACGAATAAATTTAGTTGAAAAAGTTACATCCTCAAGAAGTTCAGCACCAGCCCATACAGTTTGAGGATCTCTAATCCATACTCGAACACCTAAACACAACAGTGATTTAAGAGTATTATGAACGGTAACAGCACCGCTGTCGACAAAAAAAAAAAATTGTCGTCCTCCATCAGATTTTAAAACTGCAGAATTCAGAACAGCAGTTTCTGCAATTTTATAGACAGAGACCTTAACCGTAGCGATAAGTTACACCGGAGTATTCAACTAATTGCGGTTGCTGCCACAATTTGGTCCAACTTTCATGCCGACGTTTTTTGCTTTCAACAGCTAATTGTCTGCTTCAATATTTTTAAAATTTAAACTGTACCGACCAGCAAATGTAATATTAAAATTACTCTTCATTTCTGGCTACTTTACCCAACTTCATCTTGCCGAATCCCCTACAGTAGGATTTGCAAAACTTGAAAGAATTTTTACGCTTCAATTATTCACGTGTG